ACACTAAGGGATTTTTAGAGTGGGGAAGCAAAGGATTATGCATTCAATAGCATATATTTTCATCGAAATGTCTGTCAATTTCAACATCCATAGTTCAAGTTTTTTTTTTTTTTTTTTTCTTTTGGCAGAGATCTTAGCTTTAATAGACTCAGCGGAGTAATTCCTAGCAACTTTTCTACTCTTGCGGGCGTTAATTACATGTAAGCACATCAACTCTAAGTGATTAAAATTAGCTTCTTCTTTTTTCACTAATTTCAACTCTTTGGTTTCATTATTTTTTATTAGATTATGTTATATTTTCTATCTTCATAATGAATTAAAGATGTAATTATATCATTTTTTTCTTATTTTAGTTATTTTACTGGAAACTTGCTCACTGGGAGCATTCCTCCTTGGATATTGCAAAGCGAAAAGAACATGTGAGAATCTATTTCCAATATTTTATTGAATTTCCTTTCATTCTAAAAGGGTTTGTAGACATCTTTTTGTTTTTTGTTAAGAAGTTAGATATTGAAATATCTCTGCTAAGTGCCTTGTTACACACTGAAAATAACCCGTATAATATTTTTTTTACCTGTGAATGGGTATTAACTCACTCTTTTTTGCTATACAATTTGAATTGAACACAGATGATCTAAACAAAACTATATGCATTTAGCCAAGTCAAACTATTTGTTCAAGTATACTTTAGAGAAACATTTTAGGAATTGATGATTATCACTAACCAATTTGCTCTTTATATTTTTTTCAGTGATCTTTCATTTAACAATTTTACAGAAGGAAGCCAAGGGGCATCAAGTTGTCAGGGACAAAATGTGTAATTATCTTACGTCTAAGTTTGTTTACTTTTGGTCAATAGAACTTATTATGCTTAACTATTACACCAAAATGTCTTTATTATGTGAAGTGATCTTTTGGTCTTAATTTCTCACAGGAATTTCTTCGCAAGCTCTTTAGGGACCAACGAGTTGTAAGTTTTTAACTTCCTTCTCCAAATCATGTCTTGTAAAGATTTCGATACACTGTAACAAATTCATGTTGCTGTCATGATGTTGACATTTTCTGGACCTTGTATTCAATATCAGAGGGATTGTTTCATGCTTGAGAAGCTCTAAATGTCAAAAAAGTAAGTTTGAATAATCTATCCTCTTCCCAATTTTTTTTGTTTAATGTAAGCTTAAATAATATGTTTTCATACCTAATTTTAGGCTTTGATCATATAGCTCTTGAATTTTGCTTCTCATTTTAACACTAAGGGATTTTTAGAGTGGGGAAGCAAAGGATTATGCATTCAATAGCATATATTTTCATCGAAATGTCTGTCAATTTCAACATCCATAGTTCAAGTTTTTTTTTTTTTGTTTCTGTTTAAGTTGTGATAAAGTAGATAATTTTTCTAGAATAAATAGCATTGTGACAATCTTTCCATGGGAATCTAAATAAAAGAAAAGGTTTCCTATCCTAGGAGCTTAGTTAAGATGGTTGTTCTCACTACACTTTATGATAAAAGATTCAATTGACAATATTTTAGTATGATTGCACATATATTTTATTCCTTGCAACGTTCTTCCTTTACCTTTGAAAGTTCTTCAATCTTTCTTCAAAGCTCAAACCGGCAAAGTTTGGCAGTACTTAGCCAATTACTTGTGAAAATTTTATTTTAGTTTATTTTTATTTTTTCTTTAATAGTTGGGAGTCACTGAGTTGTTAGCTTTGTGTTCCAGATACATATTATCTCCATATTAATTGTGGAGGAAGTGAAGTAACTATAAATGGAAATACCACATATGAAGATGATAGAGATCCAGCAGGACCTTCTAGATTTTTTGAAGGTGGTGGCAATTGGGCATTCAGCAACACTGGTCACTTCTTGGATGATGACCGAAATATGGACAGCTTTATCCGCATAAACGAGTCTATACTTTCCATGAAAGATTCACAACTATACATGAATGCACGCCTTTCGGCCATATCTTTGACTTATTATGGATTTTGTATGGGTGACGGGAATTACACTGTAAATCTCCATTTTGCAGAAATAATGTTTGGTGATGGTAAAACATATAGCAGCTTAGGGAGGCGCATATTCAATATTTACATTCAGGTAGCTATTTTTTGGTTTTGACTCAGGAACCTTTTACATTTTTGTTGTTTGGTTGAAACTAGAACAAGAAATTGAAAATTTAGCATATGCAAGTATGGAATGTTTAGTAGTTTGAATACAAAATTGCAGGGCAAGCTGGTACAAAAGGATTTCAACATAGTGGATGAAGCTGGAGGGGTTGGTAGGGCTATCATAAAAAAATTTCCTACAGTTGTGACCAATGGTACCTTGCAGATTCGTTTATATTGGGCTGCAAAAGGAACAACAACCATTCCTTCTAAAGGAGTTTATGGTCCTCTTATATCAGCTATATCTGTCAATCCTGGTAAGTTGTACAGTAGTTCTGATTCCTTCTTGTATCCATTTTTTTTAATTGACATGCAAGTTTGCTTTATTGACATTTACATCAAGCATTTAGTAAATCTAGAAGTCGAATTGTGCTACATGTTTTCTTACTTTAAAATTTAGTGACACTGAGTAGTATCTCTTCAGATTTTACACCTCCTGTGGAAAATGGGGGCAGTACTGGTGTATCTGTGGGCATGGTGGTTGGAATTTTGGTTGGAGTAGCATTTGCTATCATTTTGATTGCGGGTGTCCTTTGGTGGAAATGCTACATAAGACAGAAAAACACATTAGAACAAGGTACTAGATTGAATTATAACACTGGCTTTTTCTGTACTTCTTGAAATGAATTTAGTGGTCACCTTTTAAATGATTCTATTATCTTTTGTCTTAGAAAATTATGTCTTTTGTCTTTACTTTGGGATGAAATGCAGATATGATAAATGCCCATTTAAACTTAATTTGAGATACTTGAAATCAAGAGAGTTTAGAAGTCACCTTTTCAATAATTCTGTTATCTTGCTCTTTTTCTGCAGATCTAAAAGGTTTGAATTTGCAGATGGTTTCTTTTAGTTTAAGGCAGATTAAAGCAGCCACCAACAACTTTGATCCTGCTAATAAGATTGGAGAAGGTGGTTTTGGTCCTGTTTACAAGGTATCACGTCCTACAAATTTTTTTCTTTATCCTACTGGAAAATTGTTTAAAGCTTAAAGTATTTCTCAAATGTAGGGCCATTTGACAGATGGTAAGTCTATTGCTGTTAAGCAGCTATCAGCCAAATCAAAGCAAGGAAATCGTGAGTTTGTTAATGAAATTGGCATAATTTCTGCTCTTCAACATCCTCATCTGGTCAAGCTATATGGGTGTTGTATCGAAGGAAACCAACTCTTGCTAATATATGAGTACATGGAAAACAACAGCCTTGCTCGTGCATTGTTTGGTAGGTCTCTAAGTGTGCTTTGTAGTTTAAAATGACACAATGGATGAAAATATAGGCATGTTAACCCTTTTTTTAATTTGGTATTTCTCAGGCCCAGAAGAATGCCAATTGAAATTAGATTGGCCAATGAGACAGAAGATATGCATTGGTATAGCAAAAGGTTTAGCTTATCTCCATGAAGAATCAAGGTTGAAGATTGTGCATCGAGATATCAAGGCTACCAATATATTGCTTGATAAGGATCTAAATCCAAAAATATCTGACTTTGGTCTAGCTAAGCTTAATGAAGAGGATAATACCCATATTAGTACTCGCATTGCTGGAACTATGTAAGTATCACTTTTTTCTGGTGTCTGAATATAATTGATGATAGTTGTTTTATATTTTACATGATAATTGAATTATTTGAATGCATGTAATGGAAAACATGTTTCATGTATTCCTAAATTTGTAGGGGATATATGGCTCCAGAATATGCAACACGGGGTTACCTAACTGACAAAGCAGATGTTTATAGTTTTGGAATTGTAGGCTTGGAAATTGTCAGTGGAAGAAGCAACACAATTAGCAGAACAAAAGAAAATAGCTTTTATCTTATTGATTGGGTACCAAAATCCTCATTCTTTCTTCCACTGCAATATTCATTGTGTTGAGTCTTGAACCTCAGGAAAGCAATATTTTCCTTGTTTGTAGGCTCTTCTTTTGAAGGAAAAAGGAAGTTTGTTAGAATTAGTTGACCCGAGACTGGGATCTGACTACAACAAAAAGGAAGTAATGACAATGATAAATGTGGCACTACTATGCACTAACCCTACTCCAGCTGCTAGGCCTATTATGTCTTCTGTGGTGAGCATACTTGAAGGAAAGACTGCCATTGATGAGTTGGATTTCTAATCACTGGGGAAGTTCTATCCGACTCTTGAAGAAAGAGCGAGTCATGAGAACCGAACAGAGAGTATGTCAATATAATCTTTGCCACTTGTCCCTTCTTCATCTGCAGCTAACTTCTATCCTATCAATTTGAGCTCTTGTTATTGGCAAAACAAAGATTGAAAAAAGGAAAGCTCTACAAATCATTTTGATTTTGACCCTGAAAACATCTTTAAATTAATTTAGATTTTAGATTTGTTTGACTCTGTAGAACACATGCTGTTAAAGCATAGTCAATGTTTAAACCATTGTATTATAGTTTGGTATATTGGCATAGAAGTTTAGATAACGTAAAAACTATAAACCACATTGTGAAAAAGAAAGAAATTGTGAACAACGTACTTCATATTTTTGTGTTTGATTTTGTTGAAGAAGATAACACCCATATTAACACTCACATTGTCAGAACTATGCAAGTATCACTGCTTCTAGTGCCTAAATATAGTTGATGATAGGCATACCTATTATTTGTTATTGTGACATTGAAAATGCATTTTATATATTTCTAAATTTGTAGGGGTTACATCCCACATGGCTTTACAATATGCAATATGGGGTTACTTAACTAACAAATCAAATGTGTATAGTTTTGGAATCATGGACTTGGAAATCAGGGAAGAAGCACCACAATTAACAGAACAAAAAATTTAGCTTTTATCTTATTGATTGGGTACCAAAATCCTCGTTCTTAATTTCTTTCACTGCAATATTAATTGTGTTGAGTCCTGAAACTCAAGAGAGTAATATTTTTTTCTATTTGCAAGCTCTTCGTTTGAAGGAGAAAGGCAGCTTGTTAAATTAGTCGACTTGGGATCATACTACAACAAAGAAGAGGTAATGAAAATGATAAAAGTGGCATTGCTATGCACTAACCTTGCTCTAGCTGTTTGGCCTATTATGTCTTTCTATAGTGAGCATGCTTGAAGGGAAGATTGCTGTTGATGAGTTGAGTCTCGAATCCTGGTATCTCTATTGAATTGTGAAAGTTCTATTAGACTCTTGAAGAAGGTATTCAAGAAAATCAGGCACAAATTACATTAATAGAATCTTTGCCACTTACCTCTTCTTCTTCATTTGTAGTTGACCTCTATTCAGTCAATTTGAAAGTTAATGCAGAATAGAGATTAGAAAGAGAACTCTGCAAATCATCTTGCAGTTGGCCCTTAGAACATTTACAAGTGCTTAAATTAATTTGGATTTAAGATTGTTCGAGTATGTAGAACAGATATCATGTTAAACCATAGATGAGATTTAAATTGCGCAATCATTCTAATATAGCTTGATATATTGCCGTAGAGAGTATATCAGGCTTACACTATAAACCATACCGTGAAAAAGAAATGGTAAACAGAGTACCTTTTGTGTTTGATTCTAAATAAGAGTCTTTGCTGCGTCAAGATATGCAATTATGATCATCAGGTAATTAAATTTTGATCCCAGTTTGTGCCAAAGGATGCAATCAACAGAAGTAAACAAAAGAAAAGGAAAATTAACTGCAATAAAAGTAGTCAACAGTCCATATTTTCTTGGAACAGACCTAACAGTTCTGTGGGCAAAAATCAAAATGTCAACAGCACGCGTACATGTTGTGGGCCTTAAAGATAACTAACCTTTCCCGTTTAGGTCGGGCGGCAAGAAAATACAACCTTGGAAAAAGGATAACAAAGAAAACAAAAAAAGACCACTTGTCTTCCGTTTGCGAGGGGGCACCGCGTAGAAAAATTATATATTTATTTAGAAGATGATATATTTATATATATAATTTTTTATATTATATTTATATAAAATTTTAATTATTTATTTTTATTTTTAAAATTTTTTAATAAAAATAAAAAATTTTAATTATTAAAAATAAAAAAAATTAAAATTTTATATAAATACAATATATAAAATTTTTATATAAATAAATATTACTTCATTTATCTATATTTTATATATTAGAGTTGACTCCCTTGAAATCTTTTCAGAGGTCTTTTCCAAATAATTAGCATCAGGAAAGATGGATGAGAGCGGGTCCCGTCCGGCCATTGGCCCGAAAAGGACGAAAGCGAAGGCTTAATCCCCTTCGAACCCTCAAACTTATTGTCTTTGGGAGTTTTAAACCTTTAACAAACAAAATGAGTACATTAACCCCTAAACGTCACACGTTTGAAGTGCCAAAGTCAGAGACTTCCGGCGCCAAAATCTGCCGCTCCCAAGGCCGATGGAAGAGGGCGACATGCCGAGGAAGGAGAAAGAAAAAGAAATGAAGAGGAAATAGGGTTTTCTAACATAATTCTTTTTTTTTTTTATATGTTATTCTAAAATATCTTAAAGATATAATTAATGTAGTAAGTTTTTTACATTAATGAGTATTAAAAATTAAAATTAAAATTTATTTAATTAATTGATCAATTAAAACAATTTATATAGTATTAGTGATAAAATTATAGCTGTTTTTTTATATATAATTTGATATAAAAAAATATATTAAATACATCATTAACTTGTGTTTTAAGAATAGAAATTATAAAAATTCTTTATTTAATAAGTGGTTCAATAAAATTAATTCATAAGACATTGGTGGTGAAATTATAGTTAAATTTTGTATTCTTTTATACATATTAATGTAAAAGTGTAAAAACCCATAAAGATATAGAAAAATTATCATCCAGTCTTATTTTTAAAAAATTAAAAATAAAATAATTTTAAAATTTTATTGTTTCAATAAATTTTTATTGTAAAAAATTAAAATACTTTATTTTTAAAGTTTGAATTAGATGGCTTTTGATTTTTTTGGTAATATTTTATTAAAATGATATAATTTAAAATAATTATTTTCTTAATTTTGAAAAAATAAGATAAATAAAAACTAATTCTGAAAGATATTAATGTTCTTAAAAAAATTATATTGATAAAAAAAACTAATAGAAATTATGTTTAGAGTCAAAGTTGGCCATTCATAGTTATAGAAGGGCCAGCGTGGAGCCGATGAGGCTAGTTTGAATGGCAAATGGACGGATGCAGGCTTTTGGCAAAAACCAATATTTAGCCCCTCACTTTATAAAATTGGTAAGTTTTAGCTCTTTACTTTATAATATGACAGTTTTTAGCTCTTTACTTTATAACATGATAGTTTTAACCCTTTATCTTACAAAATTAGTAAGTTTTAGCCCCTTACCTTACAAAATTGGTAGGTTTTAACCATTTACTTTATATTATGATATTTTTAGCCTATTATCAATATGAATTAAAGAAAATAACCCTCATCTAATATTAGGTTATAACGTTCTGTTAATTTTGTTAGTTGACTATTAACATCTGTTAGCATTCCATTATAAAAAATATGAAATTTAAATTCAATTTTATTTGTTAATTTCATTAACGGAATATTAATGAATGTTAACAGTCAACTAATAAAATTAACAGTCAATTAATAAAACTGATAGTCAGCTAACAGAATTGACAGTCAGTTAACAGAATTGACAGTCAGTTAACAGAACTAATATAACATTAAAATTTAATGTTAAATAATGGTTATTTTCTTTAATTCGTACAGATAAGGGGTTAAAAGTGTCATAATATAAGTTAAGAGGTTAAAATCTACCAATTTTGTAAGGTGAAGAGTTAAAACTTATCAATTTTGTAAGATAAAAGGTTAAAAGTGTTATATTATAAGATTAAAAGTTAAAAATTATCAATTTTATAAAGTGAGGGGTTAAATGTTAGTTTCAACTCAGACTTTTTGGGTAATTGCCTAAATGATGTGAAGTTTAGGAGTTATACCCTCGCATTGTATGTTAAAGAGCGTATTGTATGTTAGAGGGTTCAAGCGGTCAAACGCAATAGGTTTCAGAGGCATCCAACGAGGGCAAAAAAAGGATTTTGATATAAAACTGGTCGGAGGCAATCTTTTTGTAGACTTTGAAGGAATTTGGCCAAATGAGAAGGCAACTTTCTTTAAAAGTATTCTTACCTAAAATAATTATTAATTTTTTTATTTCAAGTTTGTTATAAATAAATTATTTATTTTTA